TGGTCAGGAAAGCTTGACCATTTATTGTTTTTGGTGAACGTGCAAAGAACCCAAAGGACGCTGCACACTTACAGGCTAGCAAACATGCTCGTTTAGCTCGTTTTACTCTAACGGGACCAGAGTTCACAGAATGGCCACCGAGTCGGATTCAGAGACTGAGATGATAAAATTATCAGGAAAGCTTGTTTACTGAGCTCATTGCGTGAGGACACAGGTGACTTTTCCCACAGACTGCTTTACAATCTGACTCAAACAACAGAAGTCGCCCCCTGCTGGGCTTCAGACAGAATGCAGATCCACAAACACCAGCTCACACACGATGACAAACCCTTCCATTAAATTGAGCATTAATGTCAACATTGGACTGAAAGGACGAGCATCCTTCATCTCACACACAGACACACAAAGACACACACACACAGAGACACACAAAGACACACAGACACACAGACACACACACACAGACAGACACACACAGACACACAAAGACACACAAAGACACACAAAGACACACAAAGACACACAAAGACACACCAGGCGTCCTGTGTGCTGTTTGGACTCAGAGGAGTCAGACACCAACTGACCAGACAAATGTTCTTTTGCTTTTTCTCTCAAAACACTGCCGCTGGCTGTGTGTGTGTGTGTGTGTGTGTGTGTGTGTGTGTGTGTGTGTGTGTGTGTGTGTGTGTGTGTGTGTGTGTGTGTGTGCTGATGCCCTCCCACCCTCCAGGTTTGTGTGTATTATAGCGGCCCGCTGCTCCTGTGTCCTTTGATTAAGGTCAATTTCGTTAGTAGGGTTGGAAACACATCCCCCACCCAAACAAACACACACACACACACACACACACACACACACACACACACACACACACACACACACACACACGACTCTGAGTCAAATCAACCATCCTGTAACGTTTCCTGTAATCAGCATGTGGCATCTTCGCAAAAAAGCCATAAAAGTGTTAAAGATTAATGCAAAATCAACAGGCTCATGTCCACATCAGGATTTCTGTCATTTAAAAAATGGATTCATGCATCTTTATCTGCTGACCGCGTTTTTCAAAAACTGTATTTCTGCTTTACACTAAAATGTTAAAACCTTCCCAAATACGAGGAAACAGCGGTCCTGTTCTTGTCCACAAACGCTCGTGTGTTGTGCTGAAGTTAAAAATAGGCTCAGGCTGTAGTGAGATGGTGCAGCCCGTCTACCAGGCGACTCACTGGGACACAGTTTTATTTAACATGGCGGCGTGGGAAACCGCAAACGCTCTTGAGGAAATGAGGGAAGAGCTGAAAAAAAAGCAAAAATACAAACAGAAATAAAGCTTCCCTCAAAGATGCTTTGCGTAACACGATGTTCACCGCGTGGTGGTGAGTAGCAGGTCTGTGTGACTGGAAAAACTGTTCAGAAGTAACAGGAACTCTGTGCTCAGGTGTAAACAGTACAAACAATCGATGGTTGGCATGAAATTAGTATTAAAAAGTATTAGTATAGAAAAGGATATTGTACTCATATATCTGCGTATACACAGGTTACAGATCCAAAGAACACGATAAACTAGCAAAACTCAGGCCTACACTGACTGCAGTAGTACAACGATCCAGCGATGAGTAGCACAGAGCTGTCGTCTTAAGTAGAATAAAATAGAATACAATAGAATAATCCGTTAATTGTCCCACAAGGATAAATTTGGTTGTAACAGCAGCAGAATAAAATCACATATACAAACAGAACAGGACACAGAAAAAAAAAATACATCATGGACAGTAGTTACAAAACCAGAGTACTGTACAGTTATTAAGATTAAAGTATAGGTTTTTTTAATATAAACTGAGAAAAATAGTGCCCAAGTTAAGTAGTAGTAGTAGTTAAGTAGTGGCTAGAGACATAAACATAACAAGTGGATGGTGAGTTTATTGCAGGTGTGGAGATTTATTGTAGGTAGAGCGGAAACCTGTAATGAGTTCTGCCCAAACAGAGAGGGAGAGAAAAACAACCAGTATCCAAAACCAACAACAAACCCGAATGGGAAAACCTGAGAAACATGGAAGACCATGACAAATGTCCAAAGAAGGTGTCACATATGCCAGCTAGCAGCAACTAACAGGCGCTAACACCTGTTAACAGAGGCTAACAGCTGCTTACAGTGGCTAGCACATGCTAACAACTGCTAAATGCGGCTAACAGTGGCTAACAGCTGCTAATAGTGGCAAAAATAGTAGCTATGCTGATAGAAAAGTTCAGGATATCCTCAACAGCTCACCTCAGTATGGTTGTCATCAGATGAAAGTGAGTTTCACTCATCAACACGTATTCCCAACTCGGACTCCTTTCCCAAAATTTGCAGCCTCTTCCAGAGTAAATAGACGTGCACACATAAGTTCCTTTCCATTAGTATCTACTCGGATTGACTCGCCACAGTCCTTCGCAGGTTTCACGGTTTTCCATCAGGTTCATAGTGCCTGGTACAAGGTACTAAAATAATACCTGCACAGCTGAGGCGCCAAGCAATCCGAGCAGGTACTAAAATGTGACGGCATCAGACCGCATGCTATCGATTGGTTGGTCAGTGGCATCGCTCGATGAGTCATGCATCTCGTTCACAAAGATCTAAATTGCCATTTTTGAAACCTGGCAATGAAAGAAACGGCTACAAAAAACAACACAGTGTTCCCCGAGTCTGATGAAAAGCCACAGACCGAGCAGCAGGTATGTCTTCGGCTGTGTTGTAGCATTTGTGTCACATGCTAATTACGTGACGTAATGCTTCGCCGTGTTGCTATAACGACGACCTCACACATTAAGTGGGACTCGATTGAAACAAAACAAACAGTCAAGCCGAGTCGAGTCATGGCGATCATGGCGAGTCGATCTGAGGAGGTATCAATGGAAAAGGCGTTTTATTGACAGCTGAGGTAAACGGCGGAGTGACAGCCTACACATGCAGATGAGATGAACAGAGGTCCGAGCACAGCAGCCACAGTAGCTAAGATCATGCACTAGGATTGGGAGGAGTAAGAAAACAGACTTCAGTTGGCTGCAGCCTACTGACATAAGAGCAAGCTGGACTGGCTAAAAGC